TAGCTTTATAACTCAATAATATTATACTATAATATATTCTAATATTATATATATATATATATCTAAATAAGAAGAATAACTTTTATATTAAAAACTTTCTTCTAAGACTTAATATTTAAGAGTTATTTATAAAAATTAAATTTTGCTACTAAATTTAGTACTTGATTTTCGAATATTAATATTAAATAAATCTCTTATAAATCTGAGTTATATAAATTCAAGAACTAAGCTATTTTAATCCAAATACTAATTTTTATAAAAAGTTACTAATAAAATCTTTTATAATAAGTCTATAAAGTAAGTAATTTTAGGTATAATTTTAGTAATTTTGGCCCATATTTACGGAATTCTAGTACTTATTATTAGAGTATGAATTCTTTCTTTACTATTTTCTAATACTACTTTTCTATAATATTACTATACTAATAGTACTAAGTTTATTTCTAGCCCGTAACCGGTTCTTAATAGGTATCTATACCTAGAAACTTTTATAATAGTATTATTAAGAGAATTCGAAATATAGGCTAGCCAGACCCTATAATATTAATTATCTTATTTTTGAGATAGTACTTATATATATATTATATGACTTTTAAGTATAGTAAGTTTTAATAATATATTATTTATTTTAATATTTAATTCTATAAAGCTATTTCTTTATAATAGTAATTTGCTTATATCCTTATATTCGTATAATAAATAAAGATAATATAATAATAGGGCATCTATAATAGTAAGAAAATAGAGATTCTTAATATTTATAGTATCTTATTTATTTTTCCGTAAAGTGTTTTCTTATAAATCGATTTATATCTATAGTTATATTTATAGGGAGATAGTAATTCATAAGGGGTTTAGAAAATCTCTTACTATATTAATAAACCTTTATAAAAATAACGCAAAAAAAGTATTATAGTTTAATTAGTATACTTTCTGGTTTACTAGAGTAGAAAAGGCTTATCCAGATACTCGAAAATTATAACCCATAGTTAAATTTTTAATATAATATAATATAAAGAATTCTAAATTAATAGAATTATTTTTTACAAATTTTCTTTTTATTTCTATTTACTTTTTATTTATTTTATTATTATAGATAGAGAACGGAATATAGTATATATAATATTCGAGTATCCAGACAAGTCTTATTAATTCCTGGTAAGTTTTTGCTATTACTAATATAATTCTTTAATATCTAGTATTTAAAAACCCAAAAATATATTATAATATAATAAATAACTTAAATAAAGAATATATAAGATATAGATAATATAATTATTTATTAGGCTAGTTCCAGAGCCTAAAAGAACTTCAAATTATTTTTTAGGAATATATAAATAGTCTAATAAAGAGTAAAAGGGCAGCTTTTTCTCTAGTCTTATCTATAACTATTATAAACGGAGCTAATTCCGTAAATTGTCTTTATATAATTCTGGAAATAAGTTAACTTAGTACTAATATTACTTCTTCCTAATATCTTAGTTAGTTTTTACTAGTATAGCTACTATTTTAGCTAGTAGTATAACTGACTTTTTAAGCTTATTTACCTTTAATTACTATTATTACTTTTGAGCTTTAGGAGAAAACTATAATCTAGATTACTTATTAGATAACTCTTTAACCTATTAGATCTATTAGTTAAATATTATATAATAGAGAAGTTAGTATACTATTTTTGTCTCTAGCTAGTTAATCTAATCTAGTAACTTCTTAGTAAACTCAAGAAAATTATAAAAGTTACTACTATTTAAAGCTATATAATTATTATTAACCTTAACTATATATAATATATAGTCTTTCCAAATACTATTCAAGTCGCTTTTATTAAGAGAAGTTTATCCTAGCTCTAATAGGGAGGTTAGTATATTATAATAAATCTTCTTTTCTAGAAAGTTAACTTGGTCTAATAGTTTCTTAATAAGCCTAAGAAGAGTTTTAAACTCGCTAGTATCTAAAGTAAAGGCATTATTATTAGCCTTAATTATATATAATATATATTTTTTCTAAATATTATCTAAGATACTTTTATTAAAAGGGGTTTATTCTAGCTCTAATTAGGAGATTAATATATTATTCTAAGTCTTAATCTATTAGTTTAAATATAATCTTATAAAGTATTTTATATATTACTTTTTTCTCTAAGAAATTAACTTAATCTAGTAAGTTCTTAATATACTTAAAGAAATAATTAAAGTTAATAGCTTCTAAAGCTAAGATATTACCCTTAATCTTAGTTATATAATACTTATACTCTTTCCAAATATAATCTAAGTTTTTTTTATTAAGAGGCAGTAATAGGAATATTAATATATTATATTATAGTTTTACGAGTCTGGGAAAATGCCTGTTTTAGAAGTTAAGATAGATAAGAGAAAGAGCCCGTATTTATAAAAGCAAGCAAATATTCTAAGACCTTATTTAAGGTAATATAGTCTATTTTTCTGTCTTTTATAAGACTTGCCTTATAAGCGGCTTAAAAACGGTTATAATATTCTAAATATAGGAGTTTTCTGAACCGGAACCAGATTCTCTTTAGCTTATTATCTATAATAGAGATATAAATACTAATACTAACGAGAATATAGAAAGTACTCGGTAAGAAAGAGGCAGTAATATTATTACTAGAGTACTAATATATTATATTTATTAGTTTAAAGAAGTGAATCCTACTAGTAAAGTGGGTATTTTATTCTGGTTAGTATATTTTCAGGATTTTTATAATTACTTACCTATAAAGGAGTCTTATTTCCTCTTATCTTTTGCTCTCCAAACTTGAATATTATAGGGAGGTTCCCAAAGCGTTCTAAATATAGAATCGCAAGGTAGTTTAATCTTACCCTACTAAAAAAGGCTTAGTAATCCTTGGGAATTTCTAGTTAAAGCCTATATATTATAAGAATTAAGGAATGTCTCCAAGAATAAAGGTAATATTAATTAGAAAGGCTATTATGTTATAGTATTTATAAGGCTTTTTAATTAATTTAAACGAGACGTTTTTTGTATGGTTTAATTTCCTTGTAAACTTAAGGAGAAGCCTCCGTTAGGAGAATTTTCCCTAGAGTATTATAATATATAACAAAAATCAAAAATCAAAACATATTTATATAAAATTTCTGCAGATATTACGTTTAATCCCGGCCAGTATCTGGGTTCCGGACCTAGTAATTATGGGTAGCACGTGAGTTAGGTCAGGTAACGCTGAAAACGAAACGCTATTTTGGGTTCCCAAAAACCGTTAAAAAAAAAACATTACAAAAAGCACGAATTAAATTTTTGGAAAGCATACCTCAAAGCATCTCGAAAGTCCCTCAGAAGGGTCAGAACTAGCCTCTTGGGCTAGGCATTTTCCTTTTGGCATGCCTAGCCTAGCGAGCGCCCGTTCTGATCGATCTAAAGGGACACCTGTCACTTCCACCAAGCACTGTACCGAAAACAATACGAAGATTGCGGCATAAAGTGACGGGATTACAGGGCATTTGCACCGCAAGTCCACTTTCAGGCCACTTTCTACTACACTCACCCACTAAAGTCCCCTATATTTCCAGGCTACTCTCCTATAAGCACGCTATAAACTATAAACAAGGGGTACCACACCTTTAGAAGGCATATCCCCTGTACTTACAGGGGCATACTCGCTAAAGGGTCCTATAATAGCTCTCTCACAGCGCCCGAGCGCTACGGTTGCTCCGCCAGCAACACCATAACCCTTGAAGATTTTCCACCACCTTGGAAATGTCTCACAGCCCTTGTTTTAGGGGTTCAGGCCTAGAGTTACAAGGCTTATAGCAGGCGCAGTACCTTAAGCCACACCCTGGAGTCCGCTAACACCCCTATGCGAACGTAAATGCCCTGTAATCCCGTCACTTTATGCCGCAATCTTCGTACCACGATAACTACGAGAAATGGCCCTTCTCCTTTTACGGGATAGGCTTCACACTCAGTAGTAATATAGGAACCTGAGACCGCGGTACTATTGCCAATAGTACATAGCATTTGCAGTACGTTTCACTAGAGACCCGAAGCCTCACTCAATATCCAAATCTCCCAAAATCTTCAAGCTAGTGACGATAACCGGACTATACGATCTCGACGCACGACTTATTATCACACACAGAACACGGAGAGGAACTTGCCCCGCCTCTCAATATCAGGCTAAAAGTGATGCCCATACTATTAGTCGATTAGTCTCCCCCCGATGATGTCGCTACGATCTCGATCTTGTATACAGCAACTTTATCTATTACCATATATAGAACAGAAGCTACGATGCGCTCCCCCCACGCCTCTCTTAGCGCCACTGCAGACTACGAGTGCCTTGCCCATACGAGCAGTCTACGTTTTCCGATAGAACTGTCAGCATCACAGCAGAATCACTATACACAGAGCAGGTTGAGGCATGAGCCGGCATACACTCAACTATCCAGATTTGCGAATATTTTGGTCCGTATTTGCACTTCACCTTGAGGACACTATGATGATGGGTTTGGGAGAAGTCACGAATTTGAAGATTTATGGGAGGGAGGGAGTTGAATGAATGTTTAGCGGTAGCAGGGGGAGACCGAAGGTTCAATGACACAAGAAGGACAGCAGAAGCGGCTGCCAATGAGCCATACACATGAAGAAGACACAAAGCACTCCTTGACACGGATATGTATATAGACATAGATGGGAACCAGTCCGCCCAGCAGAGGAGGTTGCTGGTTACTTTCGGGTGATGAAGTGAGGTGCGTTTATAAATGTAGACGTAGTTCGGCAACGGGTGCCAAAGCTGGGCTACTCCGGCATAGCAGTCCTACGGACCGCTGGAACCGAGTATGAATAAATAAATTAATTAATCAATCAATCCCAAAAACCGTTAATAGATTGTGACCCGTACTAAGATAGTCCAATTGACCTCGATATTTATCCAATATATCTATAGCGCAGACCAAACAACTTTCTATCTAGTAGATCCTCCGCTTCTCTAATAAGTATTAAGTCCTCAAACCTGAAGAGCCAATCTATCTCCTAGTACCTGTTATATCCCTAGTCTGAAAGTCCTCAATCCTTACTATAGGATTGTCTTGTCCCTTCCGGTCTTTATAGAGCAGAGATTTGGTGCCTCGTTTTAAGAAGCTAGCCGGTGTATATCTTTCTGCCCTAGGATAACTCTGATCCTATAAATTTTTAGATTATAGGCCTTGGATTAAAAGAAAGCCACTCACGACTTCTGTTAAGCTGAGCGGCCAGGAAGGTCTATCTCTAGATATGTAATTAAAGAGTTTTCCGTTTCTCCGTCCCAAAACGTAAATGTTATAGCCAAACTCGCTCCTTAGCTCGTCTGCCTTTTCCATAAAGGTGATTTTCCTTCTCCGAAAATTGTCTATCACGCCTTTTGTCGAGCGCCATTGAGATCGCGGCTCCTCCATGCTTCAAAGCGACTTAGAATACTCCTCCTCGAGTATTATGGGCTATTCGATGCAATGGTTCTCGAGCCCCCTTTCGTAGCGTCCTTCGATTAGCCGATGAAGAATATTTCCATAACTCGCGTATATTTTATCTCTTCTCGATATATTATATTAAAGCCGCAGTGTTTTGTCTTCGAGTTTATCTGCTTAATTTTGGTCAATATTCAATTGCGGAAAATAAGAACGATGTCTCACTAGATAATACGATATCACAGCTGATATCCATAGTTGCAGACGGAAGATGACTGAATCTTCCTGCCATTTTTTTGAGCAGAGCTGACTGCGAAAAGGACGATTCTGATTCTGCGGACGAAATCAAGAGCTGACGGAGATTCTTAGATGGTTGGAAGCTTGTATATTCGAAGGGGGGGTGGATCTTTGATGGATACCAGGGTCGTGGTACATGGAAAACAACGGGTACCAATGAAAATCTGAGCAAAAAGATATTTGGTACTTCTTGTCGCGCTGGCAGGAGATTCGCTGACGGCCTTTGGTGGCCGATTGCCGCGACCACCAAGGCGCTGCCAAGCCTCGCCGCAAAAGTCTCCTGGAGCGAGCCGCATTCAGAAAAGAATATTCGAGAATTTACACAGCCACAGGCCACATTTCTTGATCTAATTAAGCAGGCCCGGGCAAATGCTACTGCCGCTAAGGCTGCTTCGAAATTATTTTCCGCCAGCCAGCCAACACGTCCGTCCCTATATGATCTTCACTCGTCCTCAGTCTCATCTCAATCTACAAATGCAGCGCAATATCCATGTGTCTCAGTCATCGTCTCTGGTCAATCAACAAACTCACAGAGACCCAGACCAGACCAACGAATGAATCGCCCAACGCCAGAAAATGAGAAGACGCATTGCAGGTTTCAATAAAGTCATCGCACATTGACGTGTATCATCCCCAGTACTACTCATACCCACGTCGCCTTCCCATGTCTTACCCAACCTTCTCTCCTGGGAGTGTGACTGTCGTATGACTGTTCGTTTGTTTCTTGCAGGTCAGCCATGTCCTCACTTCATTGCGCAACAGTCGTCTCCCTCAACCCACTCGGACCCTTCTAGTGTCTTCTGCCCAACAATGTCGCGCCTTCGAGGTTGAGTTCAAAAGCCCCCTTGCGATTCCTAACCTGTTGCTTCGCCGCCGCCGTGACTGCCGGACTATGTTGACCGTAGCCCTTCTGCTGCGGTACTCTCGCAGCTGCTGCAGCATTCAGATTTGTGTTCCGTAAGCTTTGCTCAACCTGATGCACATCCGCATCTCTAGCCTTAGGGACCTTGGACGGAATGGCAGAATCTTCTTCATCTTCGTCTTCTTCGAGGAAATCGTCGTCATCGATTGGGTTGAGACCGTTGGCTGCTGCGGCGCCTCGGAAACCTTGCTTGAAGTTCTTGCGACGCTTTGCTTCCTCTTCTTGTCTGTGGACTGCGTAGCCGACGTCGAAGACTTCACGTAGATTGACTGCGCCTGGACTTCTGAAATCCATGCGCTTACCTGCACCTGGTGATTCGAGAAGAGTTGGGTCGAACACCTTGAGGGTGCCGCCAAGTTGCTTTTGTCTCTCAACAGCTGGGGTGGCGAGTGGTGGAGCATCGAGAGCAGCGTATGTTGGTTCCTCGGTACCTTTGATCCACGGATGAGCTAAGAATTGTTTGATAGTATATCGCTTGGCAGGATCAACGGTAAGGAGATGCGAGACAAGATCCTGAGCTGGCTTCGAAATGTCATCCCACCACGGTGACAGGAATGTGTATTGACCTCTGGCGACCTTCTCGGTAAGAACCTGGATACTCTCATCGTAGAATGGCGGGAAACCGCAGAGCAATGTGTACAACACACATCCCAATGCCCACATGTCGACGCTCTTCGAGTAACGCTCATCCTTGACGATTTCCGGTGCAGTGTAACCAACGGTCCCACAAGGCGTCATGGTTTGGTTGTCCCACACAACCTTACTCAGACCAAAGTCAGCAATCTTGATCTTCCCAATTCCACCAGCCCCCACACCCTTGATGAACTCTCCCTCATCGACCTTGTCTTCGTCCTCGGGAGCCTTGGGCTTTGGATGCTTTGTTGGTATGACAGGAATTGGTGAGAATAATAAGTTTTCAAGCTTAATATCTCTACAATGACGTCAGTAGATGGCCAAAAAGTAAAACATCAAGAGAACGTACCTGTGGACAACTCCACACGTCTCATGCAAATACTCTAATGCATCTGCGACCTGTGTAATGACGTGTCGCGATAGATCCTCGCTGAAGTATGTGAGACGAACAATTTGATGGAACAATTCTCCTCCTGGTGCCAACTCTAGTATGATATAGTAGTACTGTCTCGATTCGGAAAAATCAACCAGCTTGACGATATTAGGATGATCGAGCTGACGCATAATCTGAACTTCCTTCAAGATATTCGCCCTCTGTGCTAAACGTCAGTAACTGTTAGAACCAACCATGACTCTCCTCCATAAGAAATATTATGCGCACCTCCACAACCTTGGGTTGCTTTGTGAAGTCCGGATGAAGGTGAGCATCTCCCTAAGACACCACCAATGCTGGCAAAGATTCCAAAAGAAGACACAATCAAATATGACCAAGGAAAGGGTGACTCTGTCGTGCCAGACACTCACCTGCTGAGAGTTCATCTCGAACTTGCGCACGACTTTGATAGCCACTTCTCCAGCCGTACCGTCCAGATCTCGTGCTCTATAGACATTGCTGAAAGCGCCGTCTCCCATCTTCTCGATAAGGTGCCATCTTTCCAGTCCCGGGTATCTTGGCAGCTTTCCTTTGCTCTCGTTCTCTTCCGCCACTATCCGCGCGAGTTCTTCCTTGTCGACCTTGGTGCCTTTCTCCTGCTTGTGTTCTGCTGCGTGTGCGGCTACGTTCCCGACTTGTGCTCCGCGGTTTCGATTATCGCCGTCTGCCACCGAGTATGCGTCGCCGTGCGGTACCTGATGAGCCTGGCGCTGAATCATGTTCGGATTCTGTGGAAACAATGAGCTGAATATCCCCCTCTGAGATGTGGATTCTGTCGCTGTCGACTTTAAAAAGGCAGCCACAAAAGTTTCTAGGGTTTTGTCTTTCGTGTGATCGGGGTTCAGGTCCGTTGATGGGTTTAGTATGAACCACCACTCCAAGGCCGCTTCTTCGCTCGTTCGGCTAGATTCCCACGATTGGTCGACTCCAATATCATCTGCAACAGGCACTTTCCCCTTCCAGTCCGGATCGAGATGAGAACTCGGTACAGTCTGTTCATCTGGAGGATCGTCGAACTTCAACGACTCACCATCATCTTCCATCACCAGGTCACTGTCCCTTTTGCTAGACGCATCACTTTTGGAATCATCAAGCCATGAAAGAGATACCAAAGCCAAAGATTGTAAGTGCTGAGCGATGTGTTTCTGCAAAGCACCTTGATTTTCTCGTACCTCTAGACCGGAACCTTTATCGACTAGGTCTTCTGGGAGGTTATTGCAGAGAGGACAAATAGTAAATAAACGGGATTCGGCACGCGCGCTCAATTGTGCCAAGGCTGGAAGCTGCGAATTGGCAAATGTTCCGGGATGTGCGAGTTTCATGTGCTCCATATACAAGTCTTGGTCGTCGAATGATACTGGCTCATGAATAGGTGCCATGCAGTCCCAATGCAGCGGTACGTGCTCATTCTGACTGTGCGTTATCCAATCTGAGAAGGTTTGAAAGTATTCTTGCGGATTCTTGCAGTTGCCAAAAAGGCAGACATAAGGAGCAAGATCTTTCATGACATGATGCCTGGATATCCAGTCAGGAGAATATTCTACAAGAGACGAATTTATAGGACGAGTAGTATATTTTATAGAACGACTCACTTCCAATACGTTCCACGAGCTTCTTTTGCAGGACAGATAATAAAGCAGTAAGGGCACTCGAAAAATCCACTCCGATCTAATTTAGGCTCTGCCGGGAAGTTCAAGATCGCGACTTGAGACGGCGTTCCAAGCATAGCCGTAGAAGGGGCTTTCGAGGTCGTTGACTGAGGTCGATTGATGAAGCGCTTCGGATCGAAAAGGGAGGCGGATGTGTTTGAGAGAAATTGTCTTTTGATTTCTGGCCGAGTTGGGATAGTCGCTTCTATTGGTCTGCTTCGATCTTGGTGGAAAGCTCCCAGGAGAGGACGCTCATCCGTGGAACGCCGTGTGAGCTTGCGCTGGTGTCTTCGGCGATACGCAAGCTGATTGCGTCGTCGTGCGAGGGAGTTAGCCAGACGTTTCTGGAGTTCCTCGCAGGCATCTGGAAACTTCTGCTTTATGACCAAAACCGAGAGGTGTGCATAGAAATCAGTCCAGTTATTGCCTTGATCGTCTTCATCAACAAAAGCAACAGCTTTTGCATCTCGAAACTGTGCGCCGGATTTCCGGATCGAGGCCGACAGTCTGTTCAGCCGACAAATTGCATCTTCTACCTCAGTACGGGCTTCCAGGACCGAGGTGGGAATCGCATCCTCGACTGAAGCTTTGTTTGAGGACAGAGAGGAAAAGGTGAAGGAAGAAGTGGACAATGCAGGAGAGTGGCCCTCGCTGGCGTCGCTGCCACTGTTACTGTTACCCGTTTCTTCTTCGTCCTGAACAACTGAACTGGTGACGGCTAGAGCGCACGAGGTCAGCAGCCGGAGTCTAAGGTTACGGTTTGGAGTCGGGAGGCAGCCCCTGAGAGTTGGGGAGCTGGAGGCAGCGGAGGGCCTCTCCACTTAGTACTTACTGCACAGAAGATTCTCCCGCAGAGCATCGAGCAGCCTAGAAGATCGGGGTTCAGTACTGGCTTAATGAGGTATGTCTCAGGAGCAAAAGGAGTAAAGAAAGTCGGATTGGGATGTGCCAGGAGTAAACGAGAGGAAGCGAGCATGTATCAGGAGTAGGGAACACAGAATTCAAAGAGCCTGATCCTCCTTACTGTAGTATCAAGCTGCAAACCTCGTCCGAATCTCGAAGCCGGTAGTCGGCCGAAGCGTGGCCACGAGCAAAGACGCCCAGATTGGCGGCCCAGATGCTGAATCTTGCCATCTGCTCTTCCGCCCACGCTGATGATTCTGCATCGCCTCCGTCGGCCGGGAGGACATTACCGGTCAGGAACGCGTTGAAGGTGCCCACGCAAGTTGCTGCTGAGTCGGCAATGGTGGCACCGTCGGGCGTTTGCAAGGCGGCACCGGCATCGATGGCGGCTGTGGCCATTTCAACTGCAGGGCCGGCATGCAGACAGGGGCGGGAGAAGAGTGCGGCGTGGTCTTAGAAAGAAGTGATATCGAAGCAAAGGAGGAGAGCGGGGAGGGTTGGGAGGTGCGTGTCCAGACGGTCGGGGTTGGGATATATATGTGATTGTGAACGGTTGGTTGGTCATGTGAGGTGTGAGAAGAGAAGCGGGTGGGTGTGTTGGGTATCACTGCTGAGTCGGCCCGCAAAGTTAGGGTATAATGAAACGCACAAATCTGCTATACAGTACAATATATGCTGAATATATTATTCTGGCCCCTCTACTCATCGCTGTCGCTGCGCACTGTAAAAACAATCTCATCGTTCCAAAAAGCAGCATATTATCTCGGTGTTTTTCTTGCCCCCGCTTTGCCTTCTGCTGGTGTCCTAGTTCGAATCTCTGCCCACTCACTGTGCGAGCGCAGTCCTCCTCTGGGTGCCAGCCCCAGACCCTCGGAGCTGAATGGCATCAGTCCTCGTCCCATCCTCTTCAACCCCATCGACAAGCCAAAGCACGCGCGCTTGCAGAACTGCCGGCAACGGCAACGACAATATATAATGGCTCCGAACCAAGAGCTGCTGTTGCTCATGTCGGCTGTGGTTCCAGAGTTCCTGAAACTCGCGACCACCTTCACCGACAACAGTGCGGCGGCGATCGCGGCGCGCCGGCCATTGGAGAAAGAAGCATTCTACACGAAGCTCCACGTCGAGTTCAAAAGTCTCGACGAGACGTTGTCCTCGTGGGATCGCAATCTTGACATTCCAGAGCCTGTCGAGCGCACGCTGAACCGCGCGCTGGATGTCCTTGAGAGTCGTTTTGTCAAGCCTCTGGTACGAAACCCCTCAGCCGCGTCTCGTCTGAGAAGAGACCGCCGCTTCACCCTTTTGACACTAAGTGATCGCGTTGTTCTTATTCTAACATATGGATATGGCAGGGCGAACAACACCAGCTACGACCTGGGTTAATCCGAACGAAGCACGGCAAGCTGCGTAATTTGCAACGTCAAGTCCAAGCGGCTCGTGCCGAGGGTGCAGACCTCAAAGTGGAGGAGCTGCAGGAAATGATACACCTGGCTCACAGAAGAAAGGATGATCGCACCCACATGGTCAATCGCCTCACAAAGTGCAACCAAGAGCTGGCCGGCCTGGCGGCCAAAGCTGCAGCGCGACAGCCAAAGCAAACCTTCCGAGCCAAGCCAGCCAGGGACGCTGCTCAGACGGTGTCTTCCAATCTCCCCACCTCCCAGATCAGAGATAGCGCCACTTTACTCTACAACATTGTCACTCAAAACTGGAAATGCACCGGCCATAACCCCCATACGGCAACGAAGTTGCGCTTGGCGACTCATCGAGGCAGTTCCAGCGATGCTCGCTTCGAAATGGCGTTTTGCTGTGCTTCTGATACCGCAACAAAATGGCAAGAGAGTGAGATTCTGCTTGTTCCAAGAAAGAAGTATGTTAGTTGAATTTCATTGTTGTTGCCGAGCTTTCCTGACCCGTGTCGTATCTTCAGACGAAAAGCCGCTGGGGTTACCTCCAAACAAGTCAAGACCAAAGGCGTCACGTTTTCCCTGCCTCAGAAAGAGCTATCCCGTGCCCAAATCATCAAAGCAGAAGACCGATGGCGGGTCGAGGGCATTTGCGAACTGGTCGACTCTATTTCGGCGCGGCCTTCCTACCGACTAAAGCTTCTAGTTGAAGAGGATAACTTGTGGCGTCTAAGTCCGATCTCTGCTATTGAAAACATACAAACCAAACAGCCAGTGTCTTTGGGGGAATTTTTGAACCTGGATTCTCGATCCTTTGATCGTGCCAAGAAGAGGGATAAGTTTATTCTCCAAGTAATCCTGGCAAATGGCCTCCTGCACTTCTACAAAGGCCCATGGTTGCTGAAAGATTGGAACAAGACACATATATGCTTCTATCAGGCTAAGAGCCAAGATCTGCCGGATTTGACCAGACCCTATCTCTCGACGCAATGTAAGCCTCTAGAACAAGGTAGCGAGGAAGAGGATGTAAGCTTTCGAATTCATCCATACCCCGGTATCTTGGCACTTGGAATCCTGCTATTGGAGATCGAGTTGGGTCGGCCAATTGAAGATCAGAGACCCTCGGACAGCCCCAACAACGCAGAAGGATTCAATGTTGATGCTGATCGTACGGTTGCTATGGAAATGTTGGAGGAGTGTAAGAATGACAGTTCCATCGATTTTATCAATGCCGTGGACGCTTGCCTGGACGACAAAACATTCATTGATGAATTTGGTCGAAACGCATCCTTCGATGACCCGGCCTTCCGACAGCAAATATTCGAATTCATTGTAAAACCGTTAGAGGACGCCTTGGAAAAGGTTTTCGGGATATCTGTGGAGAAACTGGATGCTCTCCCTCCCACTGTTCTTCATCAAAACATCCCAAAGCCACAAAAGAGACAAGTGCTCTCACATTCTGCTCAGATATCGCACCAAGCCGACGACGCATCTATGATGCAGAAACCTGATACGAGAAGTCTGGTAGCCGCAGAGACATCTGGAAAACTAGGTTTTCAAGTGTGCCTCTACGATGACAGTGAGGGGAAAGGAACTGTTAGTGACCAAATGTATGTCACAGCTTTCGATTGATTTGATTACGTCGTACATCGCTGAAAATATGCAGGTCCATACGAGCCGACAAATGGTTCATCGATTTACAAGACAGGGTTCACCCTTTAATACAAAGGGCCAGGAATTCGAATCACTCGGCGGTGTGTAAGGTATTTCCTCGGCCTGGAAGAGTAAGGATAGCAATTCTCGACACTGGTATTGAGCTACCTGGGGAAGGATCCTGGGCCTATGAGGATCGAATACGCGAGCAGAAAAGCTGGGTGGCTGATGACGATTGCGATACTTTCCTACAGAGAGGCGACAGAGATCTAGATGGTCACGGTACTCATGGCGCAGCATTACTTCTTCAAGTCGCCCCAGAAGCCGATATCTTCGTGGCCAGGATTTTCAAAGACCGCAAAGAAAGTAGGGGAAGTATCATGGCTGAGGTGATCCATAACAGGATCGCAAATGTAATGCTACTCGTGTCTTGGTGATCTTCTACTCAACTAACAGGTCTCTAGGCTATCAAACATGCAGTCAAGGAATGGGAGGTCGATGTCATCTCTATGTCGTTCGGCTTCGACCAGTCTGTTGCGATTATCGATGAAGCTATTCGGTTTGCAGATGACAAGAAGGTCATCATGCTAGCTGCAGCATCGAATCAGGGTGGAAACAGCAACATTGCTTGGCCAGCAAGACTTCCCCAAGTTATCTGCATTTACGCTACGGATAGCCTCGGGAACAGGTGTGATTTCACGCCAACCGAATCCCCTCGCAGCGATAATTTTGCCGTTCTTGGACAGGCTGTCAAATCATGCTGGCCACCCCATTTAGGGGAAGGAGAAGAAGTCCGCAAGTCAGGTACGTCGACGGCAACTCCCATTGCAGCTGGTATTGCAGCCATCGTTCTGGATTATGTGAAACTTGCGTTGCCCAAATTAGAGCCTGAGTTTGTAAACCGAGAGGCGGGTATGTTAAGCAAATTGAGATCATCTGCGGGTATGAGCACTGTCTTTAGGCAGATGGCGAAGAGGAAAAGAGGGGGATATGATTATATAGTTCCTTGGGATTTCTTGGATAAGAGGAAGTACAAGGAGACGACTGTATGTGACATAATTCTGGCAGATCTTAAAGATATATAGCGCTACAAAGTAATACCCGTTTGCAAAGTCTGAATTATGTGGTTCAGTTATCAGGGACATCGAGGGATTCAGGTCTACAGGGAACTGAATTGGGATCAAGTTCTGAATTACACCATGTGATTCAAGACCTATAAATACAAGCTACCTCCCACTGTACAATGGCAGTCGATTTAGCAGTCAATTTAGCAGTCAATTCAGCACTTCAAGCTTCTATTATGTGTTGCACAGTGCTAACTCGTAACAGTACCTGCAGGCTGCAGCCCACTTCATCATGTGACGCTTCATGCACCTCTTTCAGCTGAACTCCGCTCACCTCTCCAACTCCTAATCGTAAACCACCCTCCGCCTCACCCTCTAATCCCACACATAACCAACCCAAACAACAAACAACAGCCCCAAAACACAAGCACAGAAAAAAATGGCCAACCCCAAAAAATCCTACCACCTCGCCCCCAACTTCCATATCCCCGCAACCGGGCCCCTTACTCTCGGGACCATAATCACATCACCCTCGACCCCCGAACGAACACTAACCGCCAACCCGCTCCCGGTATCCATCCCCGCATCCCAAATCTACACGTCCTCGCAAAAGAACTGGAGCGCAACGCGGTCCTCGCTCTCCTCCTACTCGGGCGGCGTATGGACCAGTTTCTTAGCCAGCATCCTCGGGATCAGCGCCGATATCGAGGGCGATGTGAAGAGAGAGACGAAAACGGAGTATAGGGTAAAGGAGTTGGAGACGAGGTGGTTTTCTCCTGGGGAGGAATTTATTGGGGAGGTGTTGAAGGGGGGAAAAGTGAGGAGGTTTATGGAGAGGATGGGGTTTGGGAAGGGGGTTTTTATGGTTGTGGGGATTAAGGTTGCGAGGGGCTGGAGTGAGGGGGTTAGTAGTGGGGTTAAGGGGATAGGGGGGAAGGTGAAGGTGGGTGTTGATGGGATGGTTGTAGGGGGTGTGCCGGTTGGGGTGGGACCTAAGGGGGAGGTGAAGAGGGAGGTGAAGGATGGTGTTAGTTGGGAGATGGGAGGGGAAGGAGAAGGGGAGGGAGATGGAGGTTTTGTGTTTGCGTATAGGCTTGTGAGGATTAAGAGGAGGGGTAAGGAAGGGGGTTTCAAGGAGGAGGATTTTAATAAGGGCGCGCTATTCGAGGATGAAGTTGGTGGTGGGAACGATGAGGAGAATAAATGGGAGTGGGAGGATGTGAGGGACGGAGAGGGAGAGGGAGAGGATGGTAGGGCTGTGGATGTTGTAAATGACGATGTGGAGTAAGCGCTTTAGAGAGAATGCAATGATATGACCAGTACCGCGTTGAGACCAGGTTTGGCGAGGTTTGCCAATTCTTTCTCTTTCGTATACGGAACCATCGCATTCCTTTTCATGGTCCTGGACGACGTATGGTACAGTGACCCCGCATAAGTCAGCCATTTTTAAAAACCCCACCAAAAACAAGCCTTACAGAAGCACGTCGGAACTCATCTTCAATCACTGGCTATGATATCGCTGCCATGGGACCGTTCTAGCCACGGCAGTGCTGTGTCTAGCAACGAAGTAGAATGGGATCATGACGATCAAAGTCAGCCCAACAAGAAGAAGAAGAGACCGAGTGAGGAGTCCGACGTCGGATCAGATGACCTTCCCAGGCCAATATTCTCTGATCCTCCTCCCAGAGTATCAGAGACGACGGACCAAGAATCAATTGCGTATTCAAGGCTGGACGGCAGGGCACCCGCCGAGCCATACAACGCAGACCCGAGTGTGCAATTTGTGATATATGAGATGATTCAGAGGACCGAGGTTACAAACTTCATCGATCCAGCGTGGGAAACCACCCGGGTCACCTCCGGTGGAACCGAGTGGGGATTCATGGAAGAAGAGCGACCACCGCATTGGAAAGGTGTGATGCGATATGATGGACATTCGAACGACTTGAAGATGACTTCCTTCATCAGCGCGTGGATGGACAGGAGGGCAGAGTTAAAAGAGCCGATAATTAATGAGTCCTTCCAGGTTGATCCACTCGCGATACCTGCTGTTCATCCGCACACAAACTTCGATGAAGGGAGGACGATTGATTCTGATATAGAAGCTGATCTCGACGATATCAAACGTGCACAGAAGCTTTTGGTCAACATGACCCCAATCGTATCTACGCCTGCGTTTCGTCGTTGTGTACGTACCGTCTATCGTGGGGATTTTGCCCAGATGGAGCAGGAGGCACAGAATGGCCGGCGCCGGGTCCGAAAATACATGGTCGCTGACGATCTAAGTGATGAGGCTACTCATGCTTTAGAATGGACTGTGGGGACAGTCCTCCGCGACGGTGATACTCTGCTTGTGATCTTTTGTGCTGACCAAGAACTGGGAGCTACTCCGAAGAACATGGGTGCAGACGACCCACGAACAGAGGGAGAAAAAGAGCGGCATAGAGCAGTGCAGGACATGACGGATAGAGTGGTGAAGCTCCTAAGGAAGACAAACCTTCAAGTCAAGGTTGTTGTCGAGGTTATATATTGTGAGAGCCCGAAGCACCTGATGACAGAGGTTATCGATTTTATCTCGCCAACCTTGGTGATCTTGGGGGGCAGGGGAAGGAGAGCCCTGAGAGGGTAAGTCTTTCTTCAAACGACTTGACGGCAGCGAGAGATCCCAACAGGCTGACATTGTATGCAGTGTTATCCTTGGCTCCTTTTCTAACTATCTTGTTACAAAATCTTCCGTTCCTGTGATGGTGGTACGAAATCGTCTTCGCAAGCATAGCAAGAAAAATAAGGAAGCAGTCATGCGCCCTCTTTTCGGAGGCCTATCTCATGCGAAGGTTGACTGAAGAGTAATACCTGTAAGCAGTAGCCATCGCTGCTGCTCTACACTAACTGATTTCTGAGCCTAGAGACCGGCACCTTGGAAATGAGCCTTTCGGATGAGTGCCTATCGTATTGAAGTTCAGAAGATGGGTGCCACTGCCTCTCTATCACCTAGTCTCTGGCGTGCTTCATGGCTGAGACCTTATCTCAGGGACTGTCATTTCTTTTTTGCGGCTGAGGCTCCATCACCCTTCAGCTGGTTGAGAAGACTCCGTAGTCCTACGAGGATTCATAACAAATGCCACTTAGTTACTTTAATCAGCTTGTGAAGCTCTCATCAAGACAGCTTCTTTAAATAACCGCAGGCACAAGATGCACCTTCCCTGCATGATTTTGAAGGGGAAAGTGATCTCAAGAGCCAGTGCCAAATTTATCGAATTAGTTGGATTCTAATTTGGCTCCCTGCTCGATTCCTATAATTAGAATGACATAGGGGAGCCAAATCGGACCCCTTGGATGGAGGCGACTCTCCCATCTGAGTAAGCAGTGTCATTCGACAGACCTTGCACCCGGTCTCCTTCTTTGATGCGGGCCAGATACTTCTTGTGCCCGCCTCTCCTTCAAGACGCTACCGCCGCCGCCGCCGGTTCCTCATCAGGGAAACGAATCGTGCGATCAAGGGAGGCTGGAGATGAGACGACATCTTGTAATATTATCCTACTACAAATTTGAAAATAATCAGGGACGTTACTGTTCAATGTGTTCTGAAGATTTGTAATATGAAGACGGCTCACCACAATGTACACGTGCCAGCGAAATCCAAGAGCCATGGATCAATAAAGCGTTGGTGATAAATGTGGCCGCAAGGAAGTATTCGAACATTTTTCCTGTCGAGAAAATCTTCTGTGCAAATAGGACAGCTCGCTGGCTCATGACCCGGTCTTGACTGATCTCTGGTCTGGATGGTATGTATCTTTGGTGATGTTTTGTTGCTGGAATTTGGCACGCCGGGATCCAACCAATCATTTTTGACCCCGATCCAGAAAGCGGTCACGTGAAGCAAAGACAACTCGCATGCGCAGCTGCTTCCACATCACCGCCAAACACTATAGCATTTCTTTCGATACACAAAGAATATACTATAAAAGGAAATGCAATATTTAATCTATCATATCCTTTAACTAGGACTCTAAATCTCACCCAGCAATTAAATCTCCCTATAATCTATATAATCTAGAAGGTAATAGAAAGAAAATGTCCATGTAATATATAGGACAGCACAAAAACAAAAACAAAAGAGAGAAATAAAAGACAAAAAAAAAGTCGGCTGAGTAGCCATACGCTTTTCGTGAAGCATCCAGGGGTCACGAAACCGTCCCGTGGATGCTCTCTGCGTGATTCTGGAGATGCTGCTTGTGCTACAGCCCCATTCGACAGACCTTGCACTTGAGCCGATCCCCTTCTTTGATATAGGCCAGATACTTCCGCTTAAAGTGCTTCGTCAAGTCTCCCGGACTAGCAAACTTATAGGTGCGCTTTTCAAACGGCAAGCTCTGCTCCTCTAAGCAGAGGAAACAGGTAGTGGTTCTCTTCTCTGTAAATACTAATAATATAGTATTACTTAACGCTTGCTTCTCGGCCTCAGCGGCTGCCAGCTGCGGATTGATCTCCTTCGACGGCATTAGACTCGTCCGTTGCATTAACGACCTCTTGCGTGGTTGGATAGCGGCTCCCCCTTCCTGGAAGTGGCAGTAGGCAGTAACTGTATTAATAGCCGTATTACGGCGGCGGAACTCTTCTTTAAAAGTCATTCCCGGGAGCGTTATTACCGTCTCTGCCAAGCGCTTCTAGAGCGGGGGCATCTCGTTATTCTGGTCCAAGGTAGTTTTTATATCCTGGCTAAGCTTAAGCCCAGAGAGCTGCTACTCGATCTCATTAACCGGGTATTCCAGATCCTACTAGTCTTAAATATACTTGAGAAATATAGCTCTTAGCCGCTGCCTAGTATTAAAGATTATATAGCCAATAATCCGGTAACCGGGCTACTATATTACCGTACCCTGGAAGCGGCGCTTCTACTTCTCCCGCTCTATAATAAGGCAGCGGATAATAGGATCCTAATTAATAGATAGAGATTTCTCGGATATAAGTTCTTATAGCTAATTAGGATTAATCTAGTAAGTTATCCGATAGGTTACTCGTATTAGGTTATACTAAGGTTTATAACTAAAGATAATAGCTTATATATTAGTAATAACCGTTTACCGGAAATAGTACTTAATAAAAATATTAACCTTAGTATATTATATTATAAGTAAGAATAGGATTATAAGAAGGAAGTTATATAATATATATTATTCTAGTTAAAGGCATTACTTATACTATATTAGAAGTAATATAAATATATAATTTATAGGAATCTAGTAAGTATATTAAGCTACTTTATTTATTTTAAAAAAGTTATATATAGTAATAGCTAGTTAGGCAAGATCTCCTAGCTATATAGTATCCTAATAGATTTATAAAAGATAGAGATATTAGTTATCTCTAGCTTTAAATATAAAGGCAGCTATTTATAGCTAAGCGAGATATCTAGCTTACTAATTCTCTTACCTAATATAAGACTCGGAACCAAGAATATATTATTAGTAAAGATAAGGTCTAGAAAATTAATATATAAACTAAGAACTAGAAATAGATTAAAGATAATCTTGGGAAATATAAATATATTCCTAGCTTTTATATAAGTCAAATATCTTAGCTAGAATAAAAGAAGAAAAAAAAAGAAATAAGAAAAGGCCTAAAATTAGATTTATATATTTTTTATATCGAGATATTTCTTTATAAACTCGTATATAAACTTAATTAGAATCTAATAAGGCCTATTACTAAAGTCCCGAAATAGGTTTACTATAATATTACTATAATAAAACTTAAGAAATACTAAAGATTAGTTTATAGAAAATATAGCTAGCTAGTAAAAGAGGCTAGTTTAAATCTAGTACTAGCTATATATATATTTTTACTTTATTATAATTAAGTTAGTTTATAGGATATTTATAAGATCTTTAATATATATTATAATATTATTATATTTCTTTATTAATAAATAATACTTCTTTACTAGCTTTCTAAGAACCTATAATAAATATTTTATTAGCTCTTATTTATAATAATTCAAATTAGATTAAGTAAGTAAATAAGAAATATTACTTATCTAATATATATAATAGTTTATTTTTTTCTTAATTTTCTCTCTAGTTACTTATTTATATATAAGCCAGAAGATCTTCTAGTATATTCCGAGTATACTAGCTAACTAGATACTTATAAGCCTTTTTCTATTTTTCTTCTAATATTAATTTAATATCTATTTAAAGAAGGCCTTAAAGATATAGTAAGAGATAGCTAGTATTACTTAGGCAGGATTCTTTTATATATATTTATAATATCTATAAAGAGAATTAGATTAGTAATTTAATAGTAAAAAATAATAAGTAAGAAAAGAATAGGATATTTACTAATAAAAATTTCTCTCGATTATATCTAGGAAAAAGAAACTACTATTAGTATAATTCTTATTTTTATTCTCGGATTTATTAGAGTTATTCTTTTAGTTAAGGTAATATTCTAGTAAATAAATATTTTCCTTTCTAGTAAGCTATTTTAGATCTAGTAGGTCTGCCTTATTATTTCCGTTAATATTAGTATTAATATCTATTAGTATAATATAAGTATTATCTGCTATAATAAGCTATTTTAGATCTAATAGGTCTGCCTTATTATTTCTATTAATATTAGTATTAATATCTATTAGCTCGGTCTTAGTATTAGTCTTCTCTTACTTATTTCCTATATTAAAATAGCTCTCGATATCTAATTCATTACTATAGAAAGAGAAGAAAGAGCTTAGTATTAGCTATTAGTAATAATATATATTAACTAGATTAATTAAAGAAGATAATAGTAGTAATAATTAAAAGTAAAGAAGTAAGGCCGAAGATATAAAAAAGGAGCCTGCTACCTAAGTAATAGTAATAAGCAGGAGAAGAGAGAGATAGAGTATGAGATAATAATAATTAAGTATAAGAGGCTTAGAGAAAAGAAGATAGAAAAGAGAAAGAGAATAAGTAAAGATATAGGATAGCTACTATTTTAGGTTATTTAAAGAATAATAGGCAGCCATTTTCTACTTTTCTTCTCAGAAAATATTAAATAAAGATAAGAGAAGTAGTTCTAAATAATAACCTGACTTACTTACTTTCTTTAGTATTCCTATAGCAGGTTAGCTAGGGGTCTCTACTATTATACTGCCTTGGCTATAAGATATACGAGTACTAGGGCAGTATGAGATTTTGGCAAGTTAGCTATAGAAAATAGTAATAAAACTAGCCGAAAATAGTAGCTAGTTTGCCGTCTAGTTATTAAATAAAGTAATTAAATAGTTTTAAAAGCTATTTTTTCCCGGGAATTTAGTTATTATAAAAGCTAATATAATAGTATTTTATATATCTAAATTTTAATATTTGAATTTAGGGCCTTTAAAAAAGCTATAGATATTAATATAAGTCTCTTTATATATATATTAAAAGAGCTAGTTATTATAGAAATAGTCTTGAGCTAGTTTCTTTAGTATAATAAAAAAAAGCTTATATTAGTATTTCTTATAAAAGCTTTATATATTAGTAAATATTAAAGAAAATAATAAGTTTATAATTAAAATTACTATTAGATCTATTATATTTTTATTCTTTAATATAAATCTTAATAACTTTTCTAATAAGTCTTATAATTAAAGATATTTAGGAAATATTTAAATATAATTATAATAATAATAATAGAACTAGTAAAAGTAATAAGATTAGTAATAATATACTATTTATTTCTAGAGCTTTTATACTAGTATATAAATCTAATAAAGATATAGAATATAATAATAGAAAAAGTAATAATAATATAAGAATATTAAAAATAATAAATTCTAGATATTTATTCTTAGTAAAAGTAATAAAGCCTAATAAAATTAGTTCCTTAATAAGATCTAATCTAGCTATTAATAAATCTTTATTTATCTAATTATATTATATATTTTCCTTAATAATAAAAAATAAAGTAATTATAATAATAAAAATACTAGTATTTTATTATATATATATATTATTATATTAAAGAACCTTATATAAGTATAGTATTTCCGGGAGTTTAAGCTTATTAAAGTTTCTTTAATAAATAAAGTTCTTAAAGTTATATTTAAATAGCTTCTAAAAGTTATTATTAACTATTTTATAAAAAATATATTAAAATAGCTTAATATCTAAAAACTCAGATATTTTATATATTATAATAGTATCTAGATTAATTCTATATCTTTATTTCATTATTATTTCCTTGAAATTATTAGTTCTTATAAGTATAAAATAATTAGATTAAATAAATCTAATAAAGAAATTATTTATTATAATAAGTTCTATTATTATATATTCTATAGGCTTATATCTAGTTCGAGATATAGTAAATTAATAAGGAAAGTAAATTCGTAAAAAGAAGAGTAATTTATAAGATAAATAGGTAAGAGTTATTATATTTGAGGTAAAAATTTCATTTATAATAAGAAATTTAGAAAGTGAAATTTAAGAAATAAAATATTGAGATTTCGGGAAAACTTAATAGTTCTAAAACTCAAGAGCCTTAGATATTTAGGTAATTATAAGAAAAGTAATTTTTTATAAAAAAGATAGTTTTATAAAATAATTAGATAGTTAAATAATTAATTATTTAGTAATTAATAAGAATAAGTATTTTTTCTTTTTATAAAACTAAATTATAAATAAAAATAATAATTATTTCTTTTTTTTAATATAATTTAGTTAGGCCTTAATAAAATTAAATATCTTTTTCTTTTTATAAAACTAAATTATAAGTAAATGTAATTACTAGTTATTTTCTCTTTAATATAAAATAATAGCTTTATTTTTAAGAAACTAAATTTTAAATAAGTATAGCTTAATTCTTCTTATTATTTAATTTATATATATAAACTAATTAGTATTAGTTTATTAGAAATATAAAATATTATTATATAATTATAAAATATTATTTATATAAGTTAGTAAAGTTATTATTTAGAAATAGGAATTATAATATTATAATATTAATATATAATTCCTAAATTTACTAAGCCTAATAAAAACTAGCTACTAGTTAAATTACTAATATAATATGAGATTATATAATTATTATTTATATTTTATTATTTCTAGTTATTTTTATATTATATAATTATATTATATAACTATTAATAATTATAGCTATATTAATAAATAGCTTTAGTAGCTTTAATAATTAAATTATAAAAGTATTAAAATTATTAATTTTTTAAAATAAATTAAAGCTTTATTTTCGAAAATTATTAAAAATATAATTATAAAATACTTTTTATAATTTATATAAAGCCTTTAGTTTCTTTTTCTTTATATGCTTTTCTTTTATTTATTTCTTTTTAATTGCTTTTACTTTAAATATCTTTTCTATTAATTTAATATTTATTATTCTTATATTTATAATTTTGTTTTTATTTTTTTAATACTTTTTTCTAGTTCTTATACTTATTAGTTATATTAATTAGCTCTTTATTAATTATTTAAAAGAGAATAGTATTAGTAATTATTATAATAGCTGAATTTATAAGCTTTTAAACTATAAGCTAAAGATTTTAGAAATGCTTTTATATATTAATTTAAAAGGCTTAAATTATTAATTAATAAATAAGAACTCTATTAAGCTTATTATTAATCTCTTTATTAATTTTAAGAATAGCTTTAATATTAGTAATATTCTCTAGAGTTAT